GGTTGAGAAAGAAGCCTTCTTTTTGTGTAGAAATATACAATAGTTTTTTATTTAAGCCTGACTGCGGCTTTTCTATCTATCTTTCCAAAAGTTAAATCAAGCCCAGCAAATTTGGATCGGGGCGGCCATGAATACGTGAAGTCCCACGTTGTGATTTGACTTCTTTTTAGCAACTTCTTTGGGTCAACAAAGAGACCTTTTGGAACAAACCTACTTCTTAGATTCTAAGACCAGGATGGTGTGACATTCTGCTTGTTTGCAGTCTTCTTTAGCTTTATAGTGTCGTTTCGACTTCGTTTAGGCAATATGGTCGGAGTGCCAGCGAGACCTTGTGGAATTTACGTAATCCTGTGTCCTCTGTCCTCGAGTATTCGTGATTTCCAGCATCGGACCATTGACAGAGGATACAGGACTAGGTACGTTCAACAAGGTCTCTCTGAGGCCGAACCAAAACCCAATTTTGCCTCTCCTGCCCGAGTTGTCATGCTAGTTTCCGGCATCGAACCACTGATTTGACATATTCCCAGACATATATTTTGACCCCCATGGCACAGGAAGCAGGAATGGGTATGTTCTTCAAAGTCACCCGGTAGCCCAAACCATGTAGCAAAAACGAGGTCAAACCAACATGACCAAGCTCAAGGAGGTTGCAGTATAACTCAATATCATATCATCTTGTTCTTTCTACCTTCTTGAAGTCGCATGGTCAGAACATGTTTTCTTTTTACCACTATTTTGGCTTAAGCACAAAATCTCACAATTGATGAGTCTGTAAAAATGGGTCAGCTTGAACGATCAAGTGTCAGATAAGCGGACCTGAATGAGCTTCAGATTCCACGTAGGCTCGTTGATAAGTCCCATAGAGGTGACCTGATTCTGAATGGCCACCTGAAGTTCTGGATAACTACCCTTGTCCAGAACAATGCCTGGGAAGAGATCGTTGATAAGAGACATAAACAGAGGCTCGTCCTGATCGACCAATTTGCTGAGATTCATGTCACGCAGGCCACGCATTACAGTCCGCTCCTCGGGGTCGTCCGAAGCTCCTGAGCGACGGGCTGCTCCAAGAGTGCGTAGAACAGAGAGGATATTTCGAAGGCCAAAGTCATAGTGAACCTGTAGAAGCAGCGAGAGCAAAGTGATAGTTCAATTGGGAAAAGTAAGAAATTTTTTTTTTCAGATATTTATATGGGCTTTTTCTAGTTAAAAATTAGTTTCGTTTATTAGGACATGATATCACATGCATTTTTAGAAATTCTTATGCAGGCAGGTGGCAATTATTACTGGCATATTTAATACATACGAATTTAAATTCAGTCTATAGTCCTCGAGACCATGGGACAGCGAAACAGACACATCAGTTGACGTAAGACGGTTGTTATTCCTGTACAAATTGATGCATTTGGGATGAGTGAATCATTCTAAGAGTAAATGAGCTTCGATTAATCTTTAGAGGTAACATTATTGAAGAGACTTTCATTTCGTATGGAAGTACATGAAGGAGAGGTTTAAAGTTTGAGTTCACCAGAAAACAACGGCTGATTCCGACTGTACTGCAGTCGTTTGTATCAAATACGAAGTTTAAGTTGACGCAGTTCTTGAAACAACATATCTCGTGTCAGGTGAAAACAGGCTCGGATTTCGTCCATCATGTGATAAACATCATCAAAACTGGAACTCATTCTTGTTAAAGTCTTAAGTTAACACTAGGACAAGCCGAGTATTCTGCTCTAGCTTACTTCTCATACATACTCATAACTAAACTGCGATAAAGTATGGGCATATATAAAATCGATTGGCCAATTATCTTTTATATTGGTCCCGCTTCTTCTGCTCAAGTGTGTGTGTGTATGTGTGTGTATTTTAATGTTTATAGAAAATACCGGTCCTAAATCAGAGTTATCAAAAATGCCTTTGCCAGACTCTAGTCATCAAGGCATAATGACCCAAGACATAACCCTGAGCGAGACTGTGTAAGTCCGTTAGCAACCCTAATTTAGATAATAAGATATAAGCTTGTACACGTTACGAAACCATCCAACATTACCCGTTTAACTACAGTCATTGAGGTTTAATGATTCAAACAAATGCATGATGGGATTGTGTAATCTTTGACTTGGCTGATGAGCTCGATCTACATGTTGAACGAGTATGAGTGAGGTTAGAGCCATCACTGAACTGACAGGTTGAGTCACATTCTTATAGACGGTGTTTCAACACCTCGTCCCTTCTTCGAATTTTCAATAAATAATGAATTGTACCTACTCTTTCTCATATTCAATGTCATGTTTTGAGTCCAGCTGGGGGTTTTGCTAAAGCCTTGGCGAGGTATGAAATGCGGTTCACTTCAATCGGGATGAGAACAACTTTTGGGAAAGAAAGGCTATGTGAAATTCATTGGAAACGTTGGCTCTACCCATATGATTGTGGAAAAATTCAACTACCAGTACCTCTCACCTAAAACGAAATAGGGTGAATACACCTCATATAAATAATCTTACTCTGAAAATGTATACCTTAGTAAAGAAATAGTATTCTCAATTATGCCCAAATTACAAATATTTTCCATCTCTCTAGTTAAATGGTTGCTATCCTCTCTCATATTACCAATAATCATTTACTTCGAAACTTCAAACTCAGTTTTGTAACTATCGTTGGAAAGAAATTTCAGAAAGATGCAATATTCTTTGGCTTGCTATAAACATCTCTTCCTAACTTACCCTCTTTTATACTGATGAGAACATGCAAAATTGATAAGGATCCATTGTTTTCCTTTCCATTTTGAACTTAATGTTCATTTTAGGTTGGCATAATGAAAGTAGGAAAATATCAAAATTTTTCTTATTAAGAAACTAGATTACAAAAAAGTCACCCATGCATCTAAAGAACAATTTAAAGGTTACTATTGCTTGCTCCAAATAGTATTCCTCAAGTTTGGTAATATATTTGTTCTTCACTTTGTAAGCTAAGCAAGATCCCATCGCACGTCCTCGTGTTTGTTCATTTGACTTACCTTCAAAGGTAAAATATACGCTTCTCATGGATAGATTAATATGTCTATCTATGGATGCTATGCCCAACCGTATTCCTTGTATGATCTCTGGATGCTCCTCCAGAGTTTGTACTAGAGACTAAATATTTTCTTGAAAAGGACATAAACACAACGTCAACGAATGATGATTAACCAAAACATTTGACATCTCTCTATGCCTATACATCTACGTTTTTAAGTTATGACGATATATAAGAGGTAAACTTGCGTGGGTAAACTTAAGACTTTTACATTAATGAGTTCCAGCTTTGATGATGTTGATCATATAATGGACGAATGCTCAGCCCGTTTTCATCCGAAACGACGAAGGATGTCATATGCACTGCTTTTTCTGAATGACGTTTAATGCTAAATGATTGCAGTACAGCAGGAATCAACCGTCGTCTTCTAATAAGATCGACTTTCGAATCTCTGCTTCAGGAACTTGAACACGAAATGAAAGTAAGGGATTTAAATCGAAAGTTGGCTCAACAGCCTGCATA